AATTTACTGAAATATCTAACTGTACTGAATCCATTCTGAAAAATACTAAAGTTTCATAAATAAAACTCGGACTAAATTTATGAGAACCAGAATTACTCGAACCACTGGTCGAACCGGCCAACTCATATACTTAAGTGCATGCTTAGGATTGTATATACACTCATGTTCAAATACTTCTATTTAAACAACTTAAAAGGAGCTAATATACCCCTTAAACCTTATGATTTTTATAAAATCATATAAATATCCAAAAATACTGAAAATTAGCAATCAAATACTTCACTTAGACATGCATTTCCAGTTAAACTTTCAGCTTATTCTAAGTTCATTTGGTTGGTCAAACAATTACATCAAATTTGCATATAAACATGCATTTGACCGTTCTATCTTCTAGGAGTTTTCTAAAATTCCACACTTAAGTATTTCAAAAAGCAAGATCTCAGTGGCTCAGAGAGGGGGATTCCAACACTAAGCATTCCCATGCTGTTACTATGCAGAGGAGAAGGCAAAATAATATCTCAACTCTGGTGGATGAATTTAATCATGTGAAAACCTCAGCAGAAGAAATACAGTCTCATATTTGTAATTTCTATGATCAACTGTTTACCTCTGAGAGTTCTTTTGAAGATGCTGACATTCTCCATCTAATTCCAAGTACTATCACTTCTGATCTGAATGCCTCCCTCATTGCCCCTGTTTCTGAGGAAGAGATTCATTCTGCTTTATTTAGTCTTGAACCTTGGAAGGCACCTGGCTAGGACGACATGAGCCCTATCTTTTTTCAGAAGTTTTGGAATGTCATCGGAGGTGATTTCTGTGCTGCTGCTCTGAGTTTCTTTGAATCTGGTAAGCTCCTTAAGAGTTTGAATCACACAATTATCTCCCTTATTCCTAAGTGCTTGAATCCAGCCACTCTAAAGCATTATAGACCCATCAGTCTGTGTGGGGTGGCTTACAGAGTAATTGTCAAGATCCTCTCTCTCAGAATCAAGCCTTGTTTGTCTGTGTGCATAAGTGAGAATCAAGCAGTATAAACCAGGTAGGTAGCTTTTGGACAATGTGGTGTTGGCATAGGAGAGTGTTCATTTCCTTAATAGACATACCTCAGGAAAGAAAGGCTTCATGTTGCTTAAGTTGGATATGAAAAAAGCTTTTGACCGCATTGAATGGGGGAGTGTCAAGAAGGTTATGTTGCAAATGGGTTTCCATGTTGTCTTTGTAAACTGGATATGGGCTTGTATCTCCTTAACCACTTTTTCTTTCAACATAAATGGAGAGCTCAAGGGCTTTATTTCTGCTTCCAGAGGCATCAGACAAGGTGATCCAATATGTCCTTACATCTTCATCATTATTTCAGAAGTGTTTTCCAGATTGCTTAAAAGAGAGGAAGATAGAGGTTCTTTCTGTGGCTTGAGGATTGCCAAGCATAGCCCTGCAGTGTCCCACCTGATGTTTGCTGATGATACTTTGGTGATGTGTGAAGCCAATGGTAGCCATGCTAGAATCTTAAAGCATTTGCTGCTCATATATCAGAGATTCACAGGCCATAAGGTCAACCTTGGGAAGTCCTCTATTTTCTTCAGTAAGAACTGCTTGTCTCAACTTAAATCTGATATCTGTGTTTTGCTAGGCAATATTCAATCTCACAGATCTACTAGGTACCTAGGTTTACCCCTAGGTATTGGTAGATCCTAAAAGGAGGCTTTTGATTATATTCTGAAAGCAGTCAAGGGAAGATTAGTTAGTTGGAAGAATCAATTTCTCTCTGCAGAGGTTCTCATGAATGCTGTTCTCAATACTTTACATGTCTTCTCAATGTCATGCTTCTGTTTGCCTGTTGGGGTGTGCAAGGAAATTACTAGACTGTCTGCTAGCTTTTGGTGGGCTAAGAGTGACCTGCAAAATGGAGTTCATTAGAAGAAATGGGGAAATTTGACTATGCCTAAAGCTGCTGGAGGGCTGGGCTTCAAAGATGTGTTATTATTCATGAGGCTCTCATTCCTAAACAGCTCTGGAGATTGGTCACTCACCCAAACCTGCTTATGACCAGAGTTCTGATAGGAAAATATTTCCATGACACTTCTGTTTTGAAAGCTAAAAGGCCATATAATGTCTCTTGGTTGTGGAGTAATTGGATGGGGGTTAGAAATAAATTCAGAGACAATTTTAGAGTGGAAGTCAGGCAAGGCAGTAACATCAGCTTCTGGCATGACCCATGGTTACTGGGAAATGTGCATGGACTGCCTCTATGGAATGAAGCAGGGGTGAGTATAGTGAATTGGATAGTGAGATAGTGCTGGCTGATGGGAAAACTTGGAACAGAGATCTTCTGGAGGTGTGTTTTCATCTAAATGATGTTGAAGCTATCTTGAATGTCAAGTCTCTTGACCCTTTATTACTAGACAAATAGAAATAGAGTTTGGACCCCAAAAGTAAGTTCTCTGTTGATAGCACTTATTCTCACTTGGTGCTTAATAAGATGTTGAAGCTTGATTTTGCTGAGGGTAGCATTTCTGCCCCCGCTGACAAAAAAAACAGAGAAAGGAGTTGGAACATTAGTGTTAAGAGCAAACTCAAGCATTTTATTTGGAAATGTTACAGTAACTCTCTTCCTGTCTGCTTGAATTTGAAGAAGAGAGCTCTTAATGTGGATCCCAGATGCAGTGGCTGTGGAGAGGACTGAAAATCTGTTGAACATGTTTTGTTGCATTGTGCTAGAGCTAAAAAAAACTTGGAAGTTATCTGTAGTGCATTGGGCTGATATGGGGGAGTTAGTTACTTTCAGACAATGGTGGTGGAATGTGGTGTCTCTGGATAAGAAAGATATATCATAAGCTAGAATAGAATTAACCACCTACATTCTTTGGTGGTTGGGGAAGGCCCATAACCTTTGGAAATTTCAAACTATTTGGATGCCTGAGACTGCTATTCTTGAAGCAGCACATAGAGACTGGCTGGAATTCAAATTCTTCAAGCATGGCAAAGAGTAGCATGATAGAATGGAAGAACACTAGGTCCTTGTGGTTCAGTGGTGCCTCTCCTTTCCTTTCTGTTATTCTTGCATTTTTTTTTCTTTGAAATCTAGTTATTTAATGTCTGTAACTTAGTAGTCTGGTTCTTAGTTCAGTTGAAGGGCTTCTGATTTTTTGTCTTCAACCTGCTGTTTGAGTATGTGGTTTTGATGTTTTAGTGTCTTGGTCTTAGTGGTTTGATCCTTATATGGAGTTTAGGCCTTCATTTGTCTTCTGTAGAAAGTCTATGTTCTTTTTTCGATTGTGGAATATTAGGCTATTTAGCCTCCAGATTGTAATTGGTCATTTTGATGATATTAAAGCCTATCGTTTTGAAGAAAAAAAAAAAACATATGAAGCTGAAACTTGGTCATATTAGTCACAACTCATACATGACATTCTCATAAAAAATCCACATGAAAAGCATGAGTGTGGACTGAGTTCTATTGCAACCAAATTCAACTTGATATGCTTGTACTCTAACATCTTTATCTTGCGTATTTCTTATCATTTTGAGCTGAAATTTAACATGAATACTCTTAGGGTGTGATTGGTTGGGGTGATAAGGAGGGATATCACACCATTTATTAAGCATTAACACCCTTTAAGGTGTTTGGTTGAAATAACCCCAGCCCTTGAAATTGACGAGGCCCGGTTTTAGTTGTAACAATTTTTGGTATAACACATCACATGGGTTTGGCAGGATACAATTTCCCATGTAAAAAGCTCTTGTTTCCAAAAGACTAAATTACCCTCGAATAAAAGATGGTAACCTAAAATTGAGCTGCCATTTGCCAGATTCATCTCGACAAACCCTATGCTCCGCTTCTGCTCCACGCGACGAAGGTACGCGAGATGAACCTTTGCTAATTTTCATCCAGACTTCCTTCAATCACGGTTTCTTTTTTGATAGATCAGATGTTTGTGTACGTGTGTGTCTTTTTTCCGATTTTACTTCGTTGAATCTCGCTGAATTTCGCTTCATTTCGCCCAATTTTTGAAACAGAACATACTGAAGACGAAGTATTTTGTCTCGTGAATGTCGTGCTACTTTTCTGGGTAAAGTGTACGTGTTCTGGATTTATGTCCATTTTTTTTGAATATATGTTTGATTTCCTTCGTTTTTGTGTACTCTTTGTTTGTAATTCATTACTCTAATTGCTTGCATTTTTCCAGTCATGTGTTTGGGTTTGTATACAAACTAGTTTTGTTTTGTATATCAGTTTGGTACAACAATGTAGAAGAGCGTAGACCGAAAATTTTTATGCTCTATTTAAATTTGAACAATTGCAGTTTTCCAATCAAACATAATGCCAGAGATTTCAAGGCGCAGAGCAGAAATTTTATTACTAATTGAAGAGATAATGATTCAAATTTGTGTAGTAATGGCCGTTGTTACTGCACAAATTGGATATCATTGTAGTATTGGTAGGGAGCAAGTAACAAAAAATGTAAGATACGTGATGGCTGAGAGAATACCAAGACAAATAGATCACCTCACTGCTTTGGTTGGACTCAGTGATCCTGATTGTTTGAACAACTTACGAATGAGCTGCGATGTGTTCAATAGGTTGTGTTATTTGTTAAGACATGGTGTTGGCTTGAAGGATTCAAAATACGTGTCGGTTCCAGAAAAGGTTGCTATTTTCTTGTCTGTTATTGCACACCATAAAAAAATGCGTGTTGTGAAGTTTGATTTTAAAAGGTCGGGACACACAGTTAGTATTTATGTCAATGAAGTCCTAAATGCGGTTCTACAACTGCATAACACACTTCTAGTGAAGCCGGAACCAGTTGAAGACAACTCTGTCGACCCTCGGTGGAAGTGGTTTAAGGTATTACTTAACTACTGCCTACAAACAGTGTAGTATTTACACTCTCATTTTAGTTAAATTAGTTTAATTTGTTAAGAAACAATCCCTTCAAATTTGATTATTAAAACTTCTGTTTATTTTTTTATGTCTTCAGTGTTCTGTGTCATGTATGTAGGGTTGTCTGGGTGCATTGGACGGTACTCACATACCAGTACTTGTCCCTTTGGTCGACCAACCCAGATATAGGAATCGAAAGGGTGAATTGGCGGTTAATATTTTAGGTGTTTGTGATCGCAATGTAAACTTTATATATGTGTTATGTGGATGGGAAGGTTCAGCAGCAGATTGTCGGGTGTTCCGTGATGCTGTCAGTAGGCCAAATGGATTGCGGATTCCTGAAGGTATTCATTTATGTTGTGTGCTTTTGTCTATATGAAAGTCCCCTAGCATTCTTAGTAATATTTATGCACATGAACTTTTTTTTTTATTAACACATGCTTTTGTTACAGGGCATTATTATCTTTGTGACAATGGATACACAAATGGAGAAGGATTTTTAACACCATATAAAGGGGTCCGTTACCATTTGAAAGAATGGCGACATGGTAGTGGTATACCTCAGACGAGCGAGGAGTTTTTCAACATGACCCACTCTAAGGCACGAAATGTTATTGAAAGGAGTTTTGGAATATTAAAGAAAAGATGGGTCATCCTCCGTAGTCACAGTTTTTACAGTATTAAGATACAAAACAGGTTGATCATGGCTTGTGTGTTGCTGCATAATTTCATCCGTAGAGAGATGAATGTTGACCCAATTGAAGTTGGTGAAGACGAGGACGATGGTGATGGGACTGATGATAATGTTGACCCTATTTTTATTTACACTGTCGAGACGTCTCAAGCATGGTCTGAAATGCGAGACCAATTGGCACAGTCAATGTTCAATGAATGGAGATGTATTTAGAATTATTAGTTAGCCTACGCTTGTATTGTATTGTTGACTATGTTCTTCCCTCTTCTTGATATCTTCTTCAAACTTGTGTGGTCTATTTGTTGTTAATGAGATTGTTTTCTTTTTACAGTTAAATGTCCCCTATGCCATAACTTTTTTCATTTTCATAATTTTTAATACATCAGCTCAACAAAATGGAACGGTTAGATTAGAACATTCGCAGTACTCGGAGGCGCAGAGCTGACAAAGGCAGGAGAAGTTGGACTAAGCATGAGGAAGAAATTCTTATTGTTGCATTGAAAGAGGTTGTTGCAAATGGTTGGAAGTCAGAAAATGGCTTCAAAACAGGGTTTCTACAAGTTTTAGAGCAAGACTTGGCTAAAAAACTACCAGGTACTGATTTGAAAGGAACTCCCCACATTAACTCCTAGATCCATGTATGGAAGAAGGATTACAGTAGCCTCGTGTCGATGCTCTCTAAAACGGGCATCGGCTGGAACGATTCGACTAAAATGATTGAAGCAAGTGATGAGGCATGGGCATTATATGTAAAGGTACGCTCTTGTTTGATAGCATATTTATGTGTAAATGAATAGTGTTTTTTGATATATGTTTTATGAAAAAACCTACTTTTGATGCCAAATTATATATTTTTTACAAATGTTGATCAAAATGCTCGATTAATGAGGTATAAGAGTTGGCCGTATTATCCCGATTGGGTAAATATCTTTGGGAAAGACAGGGCAACTGGAGAGTATGCAGAGGATATAGGAAATGCTGCAAGTCAAGCAGTTAATGATGGCACGGGTGTGTTACCTGATGAAGTTGAAGCGGGAACAAATTTGGGTGGAGATGAATTTGACTGGATGACGTCTGAATCAGAAAGTCGTGCTGAAGGTTCCACTTCTACTATGAAGAGTAAAGGATCAAAAAGAAAGTCCACACAATTAAATGAAGATATGAGCTCTGTGTTCCGCGATTTCTGCACTGAAACTGGGGCACGTTTACGTGAGATTGCGCAGAAAATAGGTTACGAATATGATGTTTCGGCTGCTCGGAAAGAAGTGTATTCTGTAGTGGGGAAGATCCTGGGCTTAAATATGCAAGAGAAGTTGGTGCTATGTAAGTTGCTTGTCAGAAACACTGAGGACTTGGAACTATTCTTCAGCTTACCGGATGATGCAAAAGCAGAATTTGCACGAATGAAGCTAGCTGGTAATATTTAGGGGCTAGAAATCTTCTTTTTCACATGCGGTGTAATTTTCTTTTGTGGATTGCAGCTACCTATATTTAAAACTGGTTATTTGGATTTGCAAACTTTATTCTAGTACATGTAACAACTCGGATTTGATGTTTTGAACATGGTTGGTTTTGTTGGGTAAAGCTGGATCATAGGTTGATCATAAGCTACAAACCCTTTTTATATGTGTCATTTTCTTTAGTAGATCCCATCATGTATATTTTTTCAGTCAAGGAATTATAATGATAATTTTGTTACGTTGGCTTACTAAACCTCGACATCTTCTATTGTAAAATAAACTAGTTGTTTCGATTCGACATACTTATATGTTGTTAAGTAAATTTTTATGGATCGAGGCTTACTCCTTCGAAATTGGGTTTATTTTTCAAGGCTTACAATTGTGTTTATAGATCGAGGCCTAGAAAGTTATGAATATGAATTTGGTTCGGTTGACATGATGAATGACCAGTTCAGCTCGGTTGCCGCTTCAGTTTACTCAGCATTTGGTGTGGTTATCACATATCAGTAAAGTCTATTACAAATAAGACGTTTTTTTATATGAGTTTATCCTTGAAAGAGTGCAAAAAATTCCATTTAATGGGTCAAAATTGGGGTGCGATTCTTTTTTGTGTTTGAAGTTTACTCAGCTCGGTTGCCGCTTCAGTTTACTCAGCTCGGTTACTCAGTTTACTCAGCTCGGTTGCCGCTTCAGTTTACTCAGCTCGGTTACTCAGTTTACTCAGCTCGGTTGCCGCTTCAGTTTACTAGCTTATTGTTTTCGCTGCTGTTTGAAGTTTTAACAACGGTCAAAATTGTGGTGCGATTCTTTTTTGTGTCCTACTCATGTGCGTTTAACTACATGTCAATTTCTCTGTACTGAATAATGGGTACACTATACAGGCAACCCGCCATAAGTAGTTTTGACATCCTATCAGCTTTTAGTTTTCGGCCTTTGTCTTTGGGCCCCTTATTAATAATGGCAATTATTAATACACAATCTCAAGTTTTTTTAGACAAGGCCTAAACTAAGAACCAAGGCCCAAATTGAGTGTCCTGCATAAAGATGAGTACTTAATTGTGACTCCTAAATTACAAGCCCTTTCCTCTCTCTCAGATTATTGTCTCACTCTCACGACGGTATCAGCACGACCGGCGGCTCACCTCAGGCGCTCGCTCGTCTTCACCAGACTCCATTTAGGTCAGATCTCACTCAAAATTACTCTTCTTCATTGCTTTTCTATTTCGTTTTCTTTCTAACCAATAACCATAATTTGGTCCATTCCACAAATTAGGAAATGTATATGTTCAGTTTTCCTTAGTGTGTATTTCGTGCATGTACACTATATTGGATGGGATATTGTTCTTTCGCCTGTTGATCAGTGTGATCAGTGTGCGTCTTTTGCATGTACAATATTGGTTCTGAAATTGTCACATAAAATTCTTCGGTTTGGAGAAAAAAAGTAGACAATCCTGTAAACCTAATCTACTTGAACTTTAGATTGGAATTGTGGAATAGTATATGTATGTGTCACTTGTATATTTTCACGATGTTGGTCTACACTGGATTGATGTTGTGTTCAATTGACAACTAATTCTCTTGTCTGCCTTCTAGACTCAGGTCTAAACTTGACTGCCTTATAAACAAATCCAATGTGTTTTTCTTAGGTGTTCTGTAATGGCTAAAGAATGGACAAGATTTTTCAAGGTCATTCTTGACACACAAATGACCTCCCTGGTACGAGGTTCTTTCTAAATAGCACAACATTTGGAATGTTTTTTCATACTACGATCTTCGTTGTACATTATATTCATCCAGATTTAAACTTACTTTACTTAGGCTCTCCCACCTGCAATTTCCAAATATTATGAGTCCGAGCTCCCAAAAAAATGTATACTCGAGACCAGAGAAGGACGTGAGTATGAAGTGATGTTGAAAATGGTGGATGAGTTGCCGACCTTGGTTGATGGGTGGGATACTTACACTCAGGCAGAATGCATTGAACTATGTAACATTCTGTTTTTCAAACGAATCAGCAAATTCCATTTCGAAGTTATGGTAACAGACAAAACTGCGTTAGAGAGACCGCCGATATACCACTTCTGTTTGGACATAAAAACAACTCATATTGATCGGGCTCGCTTGGTACACTTCATCTTAAGCTTTTATTTATTCAAATAAATACTATTTCATATATATTACTCATCCAATAAGTTGTAATGACAACATGCAGCCAATTCTAATGGGTTTTTGGAGAGACCACATCGAGGATAACTATGACAACTACACCACGGCGGTCCTCATCTTCGACAAGAAGGTTTATAAAGTCGATGTAATCCATGGCAATGGAAAGAAATTGTTGCAAAACCGTGATGCTCGCAAGTTTGTGATTGATAGTGTTATCTTCGTTGGTTCTTCATGCATGTTCACACATGTCGGACCTCACAAGCCGGATGATGTGATCAACTTCAGGGTTAAGATTTAAGGTTAGTTGCTTAGATATGGGCCATCACAAGCTTATGTTCTTTTTGTTCTTTGTGGGTGGTCATTAATGAAGTGAAATTCTGCTAGATACATTGTCCTTGTGTTTGGCTGGTAGCCTACCTTTTGGTAACTTGAAAACAGACATAACTTCGGGTGTTTAAAACTTCTTAAGTGTGTTGGTGTGGCAGATGTTGGAATCTTCTTAATGTTGTTGGATACTTCTCATGTCGACTCAATTAATTCAAGTTGTGTGGCAGATGTTTTTCCTTTTCCCTTTTTTTTGTGAAATTGGAATGTATAGTGGGATTATTTATCTTACTCTATCATAGGTGTACTCAAATCAAAACATGTTGAATTAGTAAGACCGGGAGACAAAGTGTAACCCATGCACGATTTGGTTTTATAAAAGAACATGCACGCACAACACATTCACAAATCAAAACATACACAACTGATAGACACTAAAATCATGCTTCATTATTAAGTACATATCATAATACAACACACAACATGAGATCCGACATATTACACACCATTAAAACAAAGCACAAGAACAACGACTCTACAATGAGGCTTAACACAACATTAAAACGACACTGCATGGAATAACGACCTAACTTGTTAGGGGAGCGTGGCTCATGGACCCTGCAAGAGTGAAGCATGAATAGAAAAGCCGTTTGAAAGTAATCTCATGGCTTGTTAGGGGTAGAGCTGGAAGCTACAAATGAGTGTATGTTCTCCGCGTCAATTAGCTTACTTGAGTAATTATATGTAGCCCAATGTTTCTTCATCTTACTTATTATCTCTTCAGTGGATGACAAAATGGATGGCGGGTTTTCTGGATCAGGGGCCGAGGTCACACTGACACTCTCCGAGCCGTACCAAGCTAACTCATTCCAAAATGAGTTGTTAGTGTTGGTGGAGTCATTTTCTTGAACTATTTGCCAACCGTCCCTCGCATCATGCACATTGTCGACACCGTTTGCGGGCTGGTCATTGTGAACTACAACAACATCATCGTCGTCATCTGGTCCATCATCTTGTGGTAGCACATCGCTCAAGTTGATAACTTCATGCACAGAGCCATCGCTAATGGTGTCATCACCCTCGTGGAACAAAGCTTTGAGACCATCGTAAGCACTCTCGCCATCTATCATGTAGGCCATTGCAAGCTTCTCCTCCTACACATTCATTGATAACTAAATATTAAATAAACTTATACATTGATAAACAAATTAACATGCATGATCAACAAAGTCATTAAAAGAAAATACCCGGACGATGTATTCCCATAAGTCCTGGCCAGCAGAAATAGAGTGATTAAATGGATTGTACACCACGCCAGATAGGTGGATTATCCAGTGGAATACATTGTAACGCTTGTGCAGCTTGTTCACGCGAGTAACAGCATCTTCATAGGTGAAGTTTGTTCCCATGGAACTGTTAACATCAGTGAGGGCACAAAACACGGCGTGAAAGTTTTGTTGATTGGAATCGAAGTTGCCTTCCCTCTTTTGCTCGACAAGGTAGTCGATGAATTTGGTGTCAACGGCCTTTGTCCACTTCTCAGTATAAAATACTTTGGACTGAGCAATTGCACCCTTAGGTCCCTTATTACTTCTACGTTTTCCACGAAGTGAGGAGAACATTTTTTTTTTTTAGCCTTTCAGGATTTGTAGTAGTTAGAGTTTGTTGATAGTTTGGTAAGTTACGGTTTTCACATTTTATAACCAAACAAGTTGATGCTTTGTCACCATTTTTTAGGGGCTGGCAATATTCTCTGACAGATTTGATGTAAGATTCCAAAATTGAATTGTTGTTGGTTGTTCTATTATGTCTGTGAGAATATATTCTCTGCAAAGTGTTGATTGAAGCTTTATCTCTTTTTTTTAGGTGTACAAGACGGCTGAAAACAGGGATACGAATCTATTGGATTGACAACTCAAGTGAGATTAGCATGTGAGATTCACAGTCTCTTCTAAAATAAAAGGTCTGGACAATACATATCAACCAATATGTTCAGCTTTGTGAAATACTTCACGTATTAGGCAATGTCTCGGGGCTCAACATCGAACCACGGCATTGAAGGTTCTTCGCGGAGTAACAATGCTTTCGAAGGATGGAAACCGAAGTGTGGCCATCATGAGGAGGCGCAACTTCTGACGTCCAACACCGACAAAAACCCATGCAGGCGCTATTACCGATGCAAACACCGAAACGTAAGCCTCTCGAGCACGAAATATCATGTTCTTGGTTATAGCCCATATCAATATTGTATTTTTGTTTTTTTTTTTCTTGCAGACGAATGATTGTCAATTTTTTCAGTGGTTTGATGAAGAGATGTCGTCATTTCAGAAAAACTGTTATTTGAAGCTTAAGCATGAGAAATCGATGTTGGAGGAAAAAATGAGGAACAATGATGAGATGATGCAAGTTGTAATGGAAAAACTAAGAAAGAAGAGAATGAAATTGAATGAATTACGAGACAAACATAAAGAAATCCA